TGTGTGTGTGTGTGTGTGTGTGTGTGTGTGTGTGTGAGAGAGAGAGAGAGAGAGAGAGAGAGAGTGTGCGTGTGTTGGACCTAGGGCTTGAACTCATGGCTTGGGTACTGTCTCTGAGTACTTTAGCTCAAGGCTAGTTCTCTACCATTTGAGACATAGGCACACTTCTGGCTTTTTTTTGGGTGGCTTATTGGAGATGAGTCTTATAGACTTTCCTGCCTGGGCTAGCTTTGAACCGCAATCCTCAGATCCTAGCTTCCTGAGTACCTATAATTACAGGCATGAGCCACCAGCACCCAACTGGAAAGTTATTTTTTAAGTGAATTAAAATTTCCTTTATATATCTATGTTTTCATGTATAATTTTTTTTAGTTCCAGTCCTGGGGCTTTAACTCAGGGCCCCTTAGCTTTTGTGCCAAGGCTAACACTCTGCTACTTGAGGCATATCTCTATTTCTGACTTTTTGATGGTTAATTGGAGATGAGAGTCTGACTTTTCTGCCTTAGCTGGCTTTGAACCACAGTCCCCAGTTCTCAGGCTCCTGAATAGCAAGAACTACAGGTATGATCCATCAGCATCCAGCTTATGAATATTTTAATTTAATTTTTTTTTGTCGGTCGTGGGTCTTGAACTCCGGGCTTGGGTGCCATTCCTCAGCTCTTCAGCTCAAGGCTAGTGCTTTGCCACTTGAGCCACAGTGCCACTTCTGGTTTTCTGGTGGTTAACTGGAGATAAGAGTCTCACAGACATTCCTGCCTGGGGTCAATTTGAACCATGATCCTCAGATCTCAGCCTCCTGAGTAACTAGGATTACAGGCGTGAGCCACCAGCACCTGCCTGTTTTTATTTAAATTTTAAAAATTAGTACCATCCATGATTTACTTTAGTTACCTATCTCAACTCGTTCTCATTTCCACGGTCATAATTACACAGAGCAGGAGTTTAGTGATCTTAGAATATGTATATAAGTGGTCCCAGTTTTTACACAATTTAACCTTAAAACATGGACTTAGTGGGAGCTGGGGATATGGTGCAATGGTAGAGTGTTTGCCAAGCTTGTGCTAGGCCCTGGGTTCATTCCTTATATGTTATAATTAAGGTATTCTGTACCTATTTAGATTAATTTAGATTTTTTTGGTTGGTATTGTGGTTAGTAGTGTCTATGAAAATAAAGTTCTTAAATACATATAAACAGGCATCATGTTTTTTAACCACAACTATGCAATATAATGACTAATTTCTTTTTTGCTAATCTTGGGACTTGAACTCAGGGCCTGGGCACTGTCCCTGAGCTTCTTTTGCTCAAGGCTAGCAGTCTACCGCTTGAGCCATAGCACCACATACAGCTTTTTCTGTTTATGTGGTACTGAGGAATCTAATCCTGGACTTCATGCATGCTAGGCAAGCACTCTTAACACTAAGCCATATTTCCAGCCCATAATGACTAATTTCAAAAGATTTAAGTTAACATTTATCAACTAAGCAAAAAACACAAGGCATAAGAAAAAAATTGGGGTAAATGCCCTTAAAAGCCTTAAAGTGGTAAAATTTAAAAACTGAATTTCTCCTAGCTTGACAGCACACACACTTGTAATCCTAGCTCTCAAGAGGCTGAAGCAAGAAGATTGTGCATATAGGTCAGCCTGGGCTACATAGCAAGACCCGATCTCAAAAAGGTTTTTTTTTTTTTAAATTTTTTTAATTGTGAAAATACCGTACAGAGGGGTTACAATTACATGAGCAAGGTAATGAGTACATTTCTTACCAAGCATTGTTGCCTCTTCCTTTGTTTCCCCTTACCATCCCTTCCCATCTCCTCCCCTGCCCCTGTCCCCCGCCCCCTCTCTCGGCACCAAAGTTATAAATTTGTTTTTCAAAAAGTTTTTTGAATCTCTAAACATGTTGTGGTAAACATGAAGTTATGAGTTTTGAGTACAGTGTTGCTGTGTATGCATGCTTGTAAACCTAGATACTCAGAGGCTGAGATCTGAGAATCTCAGTTTGAAGCCAGCCCAGGCAGGAAAGTCCAATTAACCACCAAAAAGGTGGAAGTGGAGCAGTGGCTCAAGTCATAGAATGCTAGCTTTAAACAAAGGAGCTCAGGGAGACAAAGGACAGTGGGTGAACCAATGGAACAGCAATACTCACAAGGCAATATGTTAGAAATGAACTTTACAACTTGGAAAGGTGGGATTGTGGAGAGGGAAAGAGGGAGAACAATGAGGGAAGGGGTAATAATGTTGACAAGAAATGTACTCACTACCTTACATATGTAACTGTAACCCCTCTCTGTACATTACCTTGACAATAAAGTTAAAGAAAAAAGAGCTCAGGAACAGTGTCCAAGCCCAGAGTGGGCCCCCAAAACTGGCGTGTGTGTAGATGCGTGTGCGCGTGCGTGCACATACACACAAAGTGTATGATGTTGTATATTTTATGGCTGTTTGTAAATAATTTATAGTATATATTGAAATTTAAATAGTTTCTAGTCTAACAATTGGCTATAGAATTAAGGGAATATGGTCCAGAGGAATCAAATAACTCCATATCATTTTAATCCCTCATAATAGGATACCATACTTGCAGAACTTCTTCAAATACATAAAGAACACATTGTAGGATATCATGAACATGACTCTCTGTTGGACCACAAAGAAGAGGAAGAGTTGACTGAAGAAGAAAGAAAAGCAGCTTGGGCTGAATATGAGGCAGAAAAGAAGGTAGTTCATTCAGAATGCTACTTTGAGGGAAGAGGGCTATTTGAGAGAGGAACGGGACTGGGGAAACAAGGGGGTAATGGGGGTAATGTGTATGCATGTATGAAAATGTCACAACAAAACCTTCTTACAATATGCTTTTGGGGCTAGGTATGGTGATACATGCCTGTAGTCTCAGCTATTTGAGAGGCTGAGGCAGGATTACTTGAAAGTAGCCTGGGCAACACAGTGAAACCAGCCAAGTTTGAAAAAACATAAAATGCCTTTTAGTTTGGAGTTTTATGTTAGTTGTTTTAAAGAGCAGTAAAGAAGAAAAGGGTCCCCTTTGAAGACATTAATAATATAATGAGTTTTGGGGCTGGGAAGGTGGCTCAGTGGTAGAGCGCTTGCCTTGCATGCCTGAGGCCCTGGATTCAATTCCTCAGCACCACATAAGCAAAAAGAAAAAAGCTGGAAGTGGCGCTGTGGCTCAAGTGGTAGAGTGTTACCCTTGAGCTGCAGAGCTGAGGGACAGCGCCCAGGCCCAGAGTTCAGGCCCCACGGCCGGACCCCCCCCCCCCCCAAAAAATATAATGAGTCTTCAGATATAGGGTCCCAATTGTGAGTATTCATTTATGAGCTTTAGCTACGTATGAGAGGAAGAGGATAGGTGAGAAAAACAGTAATATTAGCTGAGCACCTGTGGGTCACACCTATAATCCTAGCTACTCAGGAAGCTGAGATCTGAGGATCCAGGTTCAAAGCCACCCCAGGAAGGAAAGTCTGTGAGACTCTTATCTCCAGTTAACCACCAGAAAACTGGAAGTGGTGCTATGGCTTAAAGTGGTAGTATACTAGCCTTGAGCAAAACTGCTCAGGGATAGTTCCCAGGACCTTAGTTCAAGCCCCATAACAGACCAAAAAAAAAGCAGTAGTATTTTCCACATAGTGCTTGCTGAATTGCTAGCTGAAGGGAAGCTGTATTTTTAGCATCAGTTAACCCTCATGAGTACTAGCTTGCTGGCACTTAGACTTGGAGGTAAAAGTTGCTTTAATATGTATACTATGAAGTCTCGATTTGGACTAAATATCATAACATGAAGTATGTTATTATTGGACATTAGTGTCAATCTCCAGCAGCAACTTTACTTCAAATAGTTCTATGTTTGAAACAGCAGTCCACTAGAGCAAAAAGGACCTGCACATGTGAAACCTTATCCTAATACCTGAATCCTTTTTAAACTCCTAGTGCTTTGTACCAAACTTCTTAAACGTTAATGTGCTGTTGGGAGTCTCAGCAGAATTCGAATTGCCTCATTTCTGTGGGAATTATCAGAAAAAAGAGAGTACACCTTTAGGGGGTTAAAGCTTTCTGTGTAATAAGATCTTGGTTTCGGGTGAAAAGGGTGTTTTGTTTGTGTGTGGAAGAGTGTTAATAATTTCCTAGATCTGAGAATGTGGGTTCTTTTTTAAACCAGTAGGTGCTGTCAAATTTCAAGTTTTGAATCACACTGTGAAAAGTGCACAATTTTTTTTTTGCTTTTTTGTTTTGTTTTGTTTTTAGGGACTGACCATGCGTTTCAACATACCAACTGGGACCAATTTACCCCCTGTTGCTTTCAACTCTCAAACTCCTTATATTCCTTTCAATCTGGGAGCCCTGTCAGCAATGAGTAACCAACAGCTGGAGGTACGTTGTGCACTTCACATGAATTCAAGACAATCTCAAATGCCTTATTGTGAAATCTCCTCTTTGGGAATATCCCATTCTCCACAAGATCACCTCTGAATAGACCCAGGCATTTTTCTTTTTATTTGTCAACTGATACAATTTGTTCTGTGCACAAGGGAGTCAGTCCTTGAAGGAATGAAGGATTTTTAATTAAGGAATAGCTGAATAGCTAAGGAAATAGCACACTGTCTTTAGTGATTAATATAAGGAATCAATTGTGTGTCTAATGTTCAAGAGTAAGACAAATACATACATTAATTTACATTCTATTGTGATGTACAAGGCACTATTAGTATCATGAAATAGAAAATAGTATTATGGGGGGGCTGGGAATGTGGCTTAGTGGTAGAGTGCTTGCCTAGCATGCATGAAGCCCCAGGTTCAGTTCCTCAGTACCACATAAATAGTAAAAGCCAGAAAAGGTGCTATGGCTTAAGTGATAGAATGCTAGCTAGCCTTGAGCAAAAAGAAGATCAGGGACAGTGCTCAGCTCCTGAGTTCAAGCCCTAAAACTGGCCAAAAAGAAAAGAAAGAGAGAGAAAAAGGAAATAGTGTTACAGAATAGTATTATGAAATAGAAAACTAGGACTAGGAATGTGGCTTAGTGATAGAGTGCTTGCCTAGCATGCATGAAGCCCTGGGTTCGATTCCTTAGAACCACATTATCAACAAAAGCTGGAAGTAGCACTGTGACTCAAGTGGTAGAATGCTAGCCTTGAGCAAAAGAAGCTCAGGGATAGTGCCTAGGCCCTGAGTTCAAGCCCCAGGACTGGCAAAAAAGAGAAAGAAATAGAAAACTAGAACTGCATATGATTGAATGAGAAAAGGTTGATTTTTCTATACAGATTGTTTTGAATTGAGTCCATGATTTCCCCCTTTAAATGTGCTTATTTTCATTTTTAAGCCCCTCACTTGAACATAATGCTGGAGTTCTACCCTTGCTAACTTATTTCCTATATTCTTCTAGGACCTTATTAATCAAGGAAGAGAAAAAGTTGTGGAAGCAACCAACAGTGTGACAGCAGTGAGGATTCAGCCTCTTGAAGATATCATTTCATCTGTAGTAAGCATACTGACAAGTTGTCTTATTTCAACTCCCAAATTGTTACCTCCTCTTCTGCCACACCATTTGTTTATCTATTTATCTATTTACTATCTCTCTCTCTCTCTCTCTCTCTCTCTCTCTCTCTCTATCTTTTTTATGTTGGAGACAAGGTCTTGTGTAGCTCAGGCTGGCCTCAAAATTAAGACTCATGCCTCTGCCTCCTGACTGCTAGGATTTTAGGGATGTACTACCATGTCCAGCTGTTTTAATTTTCAGTTATTGTTGTATTGCTTCGTGGGAATGTATTAAATTTGCTATGAAAAAAAAGAATTCTTGTAATTTGATTTATACTAGCTGTACTACTAAACTAGATCATAGTCACAAACTATCCTTTTTTTTTTTGGTGCCAATGTCAGGGCTTGAACTCAAGGTCTGTAGCTCTTAGGCTTGGCTTTTTTGTTTACAGCTGGTGCTCTACCACTTGAGCCATGCCTCCACACAGCATTTTTGCTGCTGAAGTCTAGACTCATTTCTGACTTTTTTGCCTAAGGTGGCTTTGAGCTGTGGTCTTCAGATTGGGCCTCCTGAGTAGCTAGAATTACAGGCACGAGCCACCAGTGCCTGGCTATAATCCAATAATTTTTGTTATTGTTATAAAAGAAGTTGGATCTGGGCTGGGAAGGTGGCTCAGTGGTAGAGTGCTTGCCTTGCATGCATGAGGCCCTGGTTTCGATTCCTCAGCACCATATAAGCAGAAAAAAAAGCCGGAAGTGGCACTGTGGCTAAAGTGGTAGAGCACTAGCCTTGAGCTGAAGAGCTGAGGGACAGCGCCCAGACCCAGAGTTCAGGCCCACGACCGGACCCCCCCCCCAAAGAAGTTGGATCTAAGATGAAAAAATGTAGAAAGTATGTGCATATTATTTGCATAAACACATTTTAATTACCATTTGCAGTAATTAAATCTAAATAGTTATTTAATTCCAGAGATAGTGAGCCTGTGTACTATACCATAGTGGACAACTTAACACTGTGCTTTCACAGTGCTTTCCTTTAGAAACAAATTAAAGCAAGGGGAGGGGCACTTTGTAAAATCCTGAATATCTTTAAGTACCTTAATGATTTTTCCCGCAAGCGTACTGTCATAAGGAATAAATGAATGATTTTTCTTTTAGTGGAAGGAAAACATGAATCTCTCTGAGGCCCAAGTGCAGGCATTAGCCCTGAGTAGACAAGCCAGCCAGGAGCTTGATGTGAAGCGGAGGGAAGCGATCTACAATGACGTATTGACAAAACAACAGATGGTAAGAATTCTCACTACCTCTAGGTTAGGTTTACTTTCTTTGAATTATAATATAATAATAGATCTGTGTAACTGTATCAGTAATCATTCCTCCTACAGAGAGGACGGATGGTCACGTTGATTATTCTAGAAGGTTTTTCAGAACCCTCGTAAAGATAATTCATTTGTTAGGAAGGTGGAAGAATTTCCCATTGCTGACACCACTTAAAATATGCATAGGCTATCTTTTATTATAATTCTATTTTTCACATAGCATAGATATTTAGGAACTTCTGCCAGACTTGTATCACTTTTGCCATTTTTACATGGCTTCTAAAATGTAGACTTTGCGGTATATTTAAATTGAGAATGAGAGGTGGAGCCCTGGATGATATATATTGCACGTTCCTGCTATATTACATAATTCTTCAGAAAGCTAGCATATTCCAGAATCCTTGATCGTCTTTCCCAGCCCTGTGCCAGCCATCTGCCTCACACTGCACTGGGAAATTTCAACTCTTGACACCAAGGGAATCAATTTCTGTGGCATGAATTTTACTTCGAAAGCACGACAGAATTGTGTGGTTTTTAAATGATCTTAGGAAATGTGAGACATTCCAGGTAGGAATTATTCCTACTACAAACACTTTTCCCTTTGGTGTTTGTCACTGAAATGTTTATTTGCCTGTCATCATGTGAAATATTCAGAAGAATGTCAAAGAAAAGAGACTTGACAAAAAGGGCTGTAACTAATACTTGAAACTAATCACAGTGCTGGGCAGGTTACTATGGCAACTAACCTAAATGCTGCTTGCAGTACAATAGTCAAGTCATTAAGAGAATTTAGCCTTAAATGGTGTTACTAACTGGTTTCTACAGTAATGGGCCTATGAATGCCATCAAATTAGTAATGGTGATAACAATAATGTGTTTTCCTTTTGGTATGGTACCCCCTGAACAAATTGATTTTAACTCAAAACTTGATCCTTGCCTTTTGGAGACAAGTCATACACTTGTAACAGCTTCTCCCCCCCCCCCCCCCCCAGTTAATCAGCTGCGTCCAGCGAATACTTATGAACAGAAGGCTTCAGCAGCAGTACAATCAGCAGCAGCAACAACAAATGACTTACCAGCAAGCGACACTGGGCCACCTCATGATGCCAAAGCCCCCAAATTTAATAATGAATCCTTCCAATTACCAGCAGATTGATATGAGAGGAATGTATCAGTCGGTGGCCGGTGGGATGCAGCCCCCACCACTTCAGCGTGCCCCACCCCCCATGAGGAGCAAAAACCCAGGACCTTCCCAAGGGAAATCAATGTGATTTTGCACTAAGAGCTTAAAGGATTGTTAAAATCATAGAAAGATCTTTTATTTTTTTAGGAATCACGACTTAACAGAACTCAACTGTATAAATAGTTTGGTCCCCTTTAAATGCCAATCTTCCATATTAGTTTTCAATTTTTTTAAATAGGGCATACCATTTCTCCCTGACATTTGTCAGTGATGTTGCCTAGAATCTTCTTACACACAATGAGTACAGAAGATATTTCAAATTGTTTTCAGTGAAAACAAGTCCTTCCATAACAATAACAGCTCCCCAGTTTCCTCTCAAATTTTTATGCCTGCTTTTAGCAACCGTGAAATTGTCATAAAACTAATGAATTTAGAAAAAGAATATAAAGATTTCTATATTCGTTCTTTACATATGAAAACCACACAGCTGAGTTCTTAGAGTTGATTCCTCAAGTTAATGAGCTACTTTTGTACTTAACCCATTTCTGGATTAGAGTAATTGAAATGGTCTTAATGTTCTTTTGACTGAAGTCTGAAACTGGGTTCCTGCCGATTTGTGTCCGTGGTTGAAAGTTGGAAACTAAGAATTATCCTTGACACAGAATTGTGTGCAATATCCTTCAATCCTACTACTACTCTAAAGTCAGGGAGGAGTCTGGCAGGTAGCGTAGCATTTTAGAAACAGCCTTAAGTACAGCCTAAGAAGAGAATTCCTTATTCTTCTAGAGTGTTTCTGCCATTTTTATTTTCAGTTCAATGTGCTGAAAGAATTCCTGGTAAACTTTCAGGGTTGTGGATTCTCTTCCCCACATGCATTTTCTTTCTTTCCTCTGGCACTGATACAAAGCACATCTCCTCTCTGCACGGTGCCAGTGCTAGTGCTTCATCCTGTTGCTGGCAGTGGGATGTGGACTGAGAAAATCAAGTTTCTAGCATTTGGGGAGATGAGCGCTGAAGTTGTGGTTGTGGGTTCACACCCTGTTTTTAGAAACAACACCAAAATGGCAGAACCATTGCTGACTTTAAGTTCACATGAGGAATGTGCTTGAACAATTCCCAGTACTGTCAGTATTGTGAGATAGATAATTCCTCTTTTTAAAGATAAGGATCACTGGCTTCTATGCTTTTCTGTTCTCTCATCACTGTTCTGTTCCCAAATTTCCTTACATTTTTCTCAAAAATTTTTAGAGCTTATATATATATATATATGCATATATATATGTATTTTGTTTTCAGTTTAGATCTGTGAGGTGACTTCTTAATGGAAATTAATTCATGTAGTATTCTTTTTTGAAATTTTACTTAAAAACCCATTACCTTTCTTTTTCTTCAGGTTTTTTTTAAAGACATAATTTTATTCATATTCCTTTTGGTTGCTTGAATTTCCTAAAGAAAAGGATTGTTTTTGACTACCAGAGTCAACTCAACATGGCAAAACCATTTTTGAGATGGTGATGAAACAGGTTAAAAACAGATAAAAGAATTCTGGGGTTAGGGTGGGGGAGCTGCATGGAGGATTTGCTTTGCTCTCACTGGATTAGGATGATCTGAACATTAGCTAAATTTTTTTGGAGTCATTTGGATCCGAAAGAGGTTTCCATTTTTATCTTGGAAGAACTTCGTGGGAAACTGTCCATAAGCACTAGAATTATAATATAGAACTTGTGAGGTCCAGTGGACCCACCCCCTGCCCTCCATTGGTAAAATGTTGCCAACCAAATGTGTGGATTTAGATATCACACCAGCCATATCACAAAATTTATTTAATTGGGATGGGTGTGGAGGGGTGCAGGTGTATGTTTACTTTAGAAGCAATGAAAAAGACAAGATTTATGATATAAATATCTGAGGCTAGTAGTCTCTTGGCCAACTGTTGCCAGTTGGTGTTTCTAAGTCCAGATCACTTTAAACCTCATTTACCAGACCTGGGGATTTTCAGCATGGTCTAATTATTTACTCAAAGCTATAGATGTGAACATTATAGGCAACCTTCTAAACCGTTTCATTGTGGATTCCACTCTGAACTTAAAGAATGATACTTAGAAGGACTAATTGGAATCAGAGTTTGAAATAAAACTTGGACCACGTTGCATACACTTTCCTCACTTGACATTTTTAGCTACATAATCTGTACTTTGAGTATAACATCGAGTTTTAACAAATAATCTGAAGATAAAAACCACATCAAATACTAAAAAAGGCTCATTTTTTATATTTGTTTTAGATGTTTTAAATAGTTGCAATGGCTTAAAAATGACGATTTAAAATGTTGCTTGTAATACAGTTTTGCCTGCTAAATTCTCCACATTTTGTAACCTGTTTTATTTCTCTGGGTGTAAAGCGTTTTGCTTAGTATTGTGATCTTGTATATGTTTTGTCCCAGTTGTATAGTACTGTTTCAGTCCATCATCCAGCTTTGGCTGCTGAAATCATACAGCGGGGAAGACTTGCCTTTGTTTCTGTTAGACTGCTTTTTGGTTCTGTATTGAGTATCTTAAGTACTGTAGAAAAGATGTCATTTCTTCCTTTAAGGCTGTTTTGTAATATATATAAGGACTGGAATTGTGTTTTTAAAGACAAGCATTCAAGTATGACAATATACTATCTGTGTTTTCACCATTCAAAGTGCTGTTTAGTAGTTGAAACTTAAACTATTTAATGTCATTTAATAAAGTGACCAAAATGTGTTGTGCTCTTTATTGCATTTCCCCAGCTTGGAAAATCTGTGCCCATACTGTTTCATAGACGATATATTGCTTTTGATGTCCTGTATAAAGATGGTGGTGCTTTTGCACACTGAGTTAATTGAATACTGGGACGTTAAGGAGCTTGGCTTTTGAATCTGTTATATACTAAACTCTGTAAAAGGAGATCTCTAACCTCAAAAAGAATTTACATACCAGGAAGCCTGTGTGTGTATGTGTGTTAGTTTTGGTCGTCTGTGTGTCATCCTACCTCTTAACAGCTGTATCATTCATTCATTTAGGTACCACTCACACTCAATCCGCAGGCCACCTACCATCTAGCCTTTCACAGGACATACATGAAAGCTGTATCATCTGGCCTCCAGAGAATCTGCAAGTTCTGCACACCTCCCTTGGTGATGCTCATTTTTCTTGTTTTCTTTTTGTGTGTGTGTGTGCCAGTTCTGGGACTTCAACTCAGGACCTGGGTGCTGTCCAAGAGGTTTTTTTCCTCAAGGCTAACACTCATCACTTGAACTGACTCCTTTTTTTTTTTTTTGGAAGTTAACTGGTTGAAGTCTCATGGACTTTTCCTGCCTGGGCTGGCTTCAAACTGTGATTCTCAGATCTCAGTCTTCTGAGTAGCTATGATTACAAGTGTGAGCCACCAGCACCCAGCTGCAATGTCCATCTTTAATGCCTCTCATATCAAATCAGATCCTCACTTAAGTGCTCCACACAAATCTTTACAGCAGTTACTCTCCCCCCACCCCTTAGTAACCGATGCTTACTACACGACTATAGATAGAAGTCAGTATCTACAATCAAATAGGCCCATCTGTCACAAGCTTACTATACTAAAATTATGTTCAGGTTATTAGTCATGTTACCACATGTGATCTACACACATGACTTGGCTATCTCCAAGAGAATGATAAATTTCCCACCACTGATTTTTTTTTTTTGGTCAGTCATGGAGCTTGAACTCAGGGCCTGAGCACTGTCATTGAGCTCTTTTGCACAAGGCAAGAGCTCTACCACTTTGAGCCACAGTGCCACTTCTGATTTTCTGGTGGTTAATTGGAGATAAGTCTCTCAGACTTCCTGGCAGGGCTGGTTTTGAACCACTATCATCAGATATTAGCCTCCTGAATAGGATTACAGGCATGAGCCACTTGGCACCTGGCTGATTTTAATTTTTTTGTGATGAGTCTACAACCTGAGCCAAACTCAAAGGAGTGGCCATGTCTCAAATGTTTTCACCTGTGCAACATTATACACATCATCGAAAGGCGAGGAAAAATTTAATACAAAATTTCTATTGTATCTAAGCCTAATCAAACTCATGTTGGATTTAAGAATGGGGTAGCACCTCACCCCTAAGAGTTTTACTCCTTGAGGTGCCACAGAATTCCCTTGGGATATATAACCTGCTGACACCACCATCCTAAGCTAACCAAAGGAATCCTCCCTTCTGGAACTCTGGGGATCTCTCTCCCCCCTCCTCCACCCTCTCTCTCCTCTCTCTTCTCTCTCTCTCTCTCTCTCTCTCTCTCTCTGTCTCTCTCTGTCTCTCTCTGTCTCTCTCTCTCTCTGCCATTACATACCTTCACCAAGGAAGAAAACATCAATTGATACCTTTACTAAGGCGAAGAAGGCCACACACAACTTTACCTGAAGGAATGAAGGGGTGAGGCATGCCCTCTTTAATAATGGGATATGACACAAGCAGTCTATGCACTTCCAGAAGGCTACTAAGAGACCTCTGCTTAGTAAATATGCCCAAGTCTGTCCCGCTAGCTTTCATATTAAATACTTGGTTTTGCAGAAAGGTGAAGAGAGATGGCCTATTGATTTGAGGATAGGCTTTGTTTCAGGTACGAAGGAGAAAGTAATACTGAAAGGAAGAGAACAAAGGTTGTGAAGGATAGGGGAAGATTGGTGTGAATTGATGGCCTTGAAGTAAATGAGAAATGCAATACTGAGCAGAACCAGGGTTTGTGAGGTAGATGTATTCAGGTAAAGATGGTGATTTAGACTTGGGTAATTGGAATGGGTTGGAATGAATGCAAGGTGAAGATAGATAGGAGACAGGAAAATAGCTAATGGGGCCAGACATCCTTTTTGAAGGACAGAAAGGGGGAGGGGAGTCAGGAGAATACAGCATAGAGGTCTTTTAAAATTGGTATTTGCAACAAAAATCTGTTATTTCCCACTTACCTTTTCCCCCAAGGAGTCTAGTTTTGCTCAGAATTTCTGATTTTGCACAGCCAATTTCACTGTGATTATTGTTCTCAAACTTGCTACGCCCATTAGTGGCATTCTTGGGCTTTCTGTGTTTGTTTCTCTGCACAAAGATGCTAGTGCTCCATTCTCTTTCAAAGCCAATTTCTTCAAAGAACCGAATCGGTTCCTGTTAGAGACACATCCATTCCAAGTGCTAGTCTCCCTTTTGGTAATGTTATATTTATAAGCTTCCCTTAGTGTTTTCAGTGGGCTTTGTGGTTATTATATGTGTTAACCTGTACATAACATATCTGTGAAAGATGTGGAGAGAATAATTACATTCTCCTCATGACAATTAAGCTCAAAAGTGATACTAGCATCAAATCCATTGCACTTAGGAGGCAGAAGATGTATTCTAGTTCAATTCACTGGGTCTTTCATGTCTCATGTGAAAAAAAAGAAAGGGACTATAATAATAACTTTACCTGCTAGAAGGCAAGGGACTGGACTTGGTGATTTCCCAAATCCCTTTTAGCTCTCAAAGCAAAGCAGTGGGAGCCAAAGGCTGTGTGTGTGTGTGTGTGTGTGTGTGTGTGTGTCTGTCTGTCTGTCTGTCTGTCTGTCTGTCTGTGTCTGTCTGTCTGTCTGTCTGTCTGTCTGTCTGTGTCTGTCTGTGTATGTCTGTGTCTGTCTGTGTCTGTCTGTGTCTGTCTATCTGAGGTTATCCAAGAAGTTTGTGAAGAGTATTAGAAATCCTTCCCCTTTGGCTAACCCTTCTCCCCCACTAAGCTATACCTTTTCTTTTCCTCTTGTTTAGAAAAATGAGAGGTCTGACAGGCATTTTAATGACAAAGCAGATAAGTCAAGTTGTAATTGGCTCTAATTACCACTTCCACTAGCTCTAACCTTTTTATCTTTTGCCCAGAGGCGCTCCCAGAGTGGTTTCTTACCACTGTTTCTTGCCGCCTCAGGAATTCATTGCAGAAAACAGAAGAAAAAAATCCCACCAACTTGTTGAAGGGGGCTGATTTTTATGTCTTGGTCACCTCATTGTACTGAAGGTGATAAACATCAAGGGAAAGATAAATGGACTTTTGTGAAGTCAGCTTTTAAGCAAATAATTGCTAATTCCAAATTGTATTTATTGTTCAAAACTGAAAAGCCAAAAAGAGGAGCAATTTTTTATCAAGTGGTCTGCATAAAGTTTATAGTGAGTAGGAAGCTATCCTTCTTGATGTTGATTCTTGTGTAACTACATGTACCTTTTTGAGGTGTGTAGGCTTTATAGTCAAATTGTATAAGAAAACGAATAGAAGAATGAAATAGTAATCTTTTTTTGTAGTTGCTTGTCTGTGCTTGCTGGTAGGAAAGCAGGTAGAAGCCTGTGTCTAGCCTTGGTGAATATATTTCAATGAAAACAAAACCAAACTTGTGAGGGGGAGGGGGACGGGAAGGAAGAGGGGGAGGGGGAGGAGGAGGAGGGAATGGTGGCTTGCAGCCATCCAAGGTCTTACTGGTTCAATCCCCAGCCCTTAGTAAATTTTCAACAACACAGCATAGAAGGGTTGAACTTCAAAGACTTCGGTGATGCAGGATTGCTTGAATTTTTATCCTTCTTAGCAAAGGAAACAATTTATTCTATTAGCAAATTTTCCACCCTCTCTTCCCACATCTTGCACACACTATTCCTGGATGTGCTAAGCTCAAATGAAGTGTCTGCCTGCAATTTTTCCTCTTTTCTTCTCCAAGGCACCTACCATCAACTGTACCACACACATAGACACTACTTCCAGTCTAATACCTAAGTCAGGGCCATGGGGTTGACTCCTAGAGCCACAGAATACCAAAAATGGCTGAAGTCTTGGGGGCCAGGAAACCAGGGCCCAGAGAGGAGGAAGGGCATTGATGTCTTCCACCTATTCCAGCTCCCGTACCCACTCCATTCACGTGCCTGTTAGTCCATTTCAATTCCAAGTCATTTGTTTTTCAATCTGCCAGACCCCATTAAGCAAATTTCCAAAATAATTGGCCTTGAATTGTTGGTGGGAACTGGAAGACTCCTGTGAAACAAACTGAAAGGGAAAACAAATCCTTGTGTGAGTGAAAAGTATTTTTTTTTAAAGGTGGAGGGCCGGGGAGACCCCTGGCATCACCCCCTAAGCCTTTCATTTGGCATCCTTAGCATTGGCCTCAGGATTTTGTTTCAGAGGGATAGTTAGTTTGAAGCGGTTTTTTTGTTTGTTTGTTTTTGTTTTTCCTTCACCATGCTTAACATGGTTTGACCAATAGGAACCAGTAACTCTAGTGTTCCTTGACCAGTGCCAAGGGTGGAATCATTTAGCCGTCCTCAGACCAGGCTAATTTATATATTAAATACGTCAAAATGCAGAATAAAAAGAAATAGAGAGTTCTGTATTACTATAGTACTTGCTGTCAGAATCTGTGTTTGTGTGTGTGTGTGTGTGTGTGTGTGCCTCCACTTCAGGGTTTTTTTTTTTGTACTTAATTGAAGATAAAAGTCTCCTGGATTTTCCTGTCGTGGATAGCTTTGAGCTGCAAATGTCAGATCTCAAGTCTCCTGAGTAGCCAGGATTACATTTGTGTGCCACCAGCGCCCACCTCAGTATGACTATTTTTTACTTAGAGATATACCTCTAGAATAGTGGATAGCTTACATATTTTCTTTAACTTTAAAAAAAATGTTTATTATAAAGGTGAGGTACAGAGAGGTTACAGTTATGACTTATGGTCAGGTAATGAGTACATTTCTTTTTGG